CATTTCTGCTAGCTTTCTCCCTAAAGCAGGCTAAAGATATGAACTATTTAGGATACTTGTAGAGCAACACAGAAATTATATATAGCTTATTTTTAAGCTAAGCTGTCCTCACCTGGCCACTTCTAGCTGCCCCAAATTCTACGAATTCCATAATGATGTAAGAGCCACCTCGTGGTAGAGATCCAACCTGCAGTCCTTAAAAAGTGATACACTCAGATATTCTAGCTGCCTAGAGAGTTCAGCACAGCCACGTATACAATTAGGTAAATTACGAAACCAAACTTCAGCATCTTTCTACCTTGTATGGCTTGGGGACACGAATTTTATTGGTTTCGTACATAAGTCTCAAACCAAGAGCCTCCCCTTCAAACATGGATGGGCCAATACTCCTATTCCAAAATTCCAAATAAGTAGAGCAAGTTCAGTACCTAGAAATTGCGATAACTTCCATACACAATAACATCTCAATTTTGTCCACATTTACAATTGTTGCAATAAGTAGGTACTATTAACTCCAATTCCAACATTCCAAATAAGTAGAGCAGGTTCAACACCTAGAAATTACAATAACTTCCATACACGATAACATCTCAAATTTGTCCACATTTTCAATAGTTGCAATAAGTAGGTACTATTAAACATAGAACAAGTAACACAATTAAGCCACTCAGCATCCAAGCATAGCATAGCATACCTATTAGTTTTAACAAAGAAAGGACCAACATCGGTATCGTAACGGGTGGCAAGATTGATGCAACCACCACCAACAGAACTTGATTTAGTAATCTGTGTTGCCTTCCCTTCAGTGAGAATCCACTCAAGAACTGGGTCTTCACTCATTGCCACAACTGCCCAACATTTCACAATTGACAACCCAAAACTCTAATCACCAACTCAATTACACTAACCTAGAACAAAGGGCATTGGGTCCAATCCAAACCCAAAATTGATCAAAATCAAAGCAGATATAATCACAATTTCAATATTTTCAGCAAAAAATAGCCCCAATAAAACCCCATTAACCAAATAGCAACCCTGATAAATTACAAACTAAAATAAAGTACAGTTCTTGAATAAATTAACAGTGGCAAAATTAATGGAAAAGGAAACACAAAGATCAACAAAAAGATATAAGATAATCAAAATAATGAAATGGGTAGAGTTTAATTAGTTCAAAAATCTAGTTAACTTACTTGTAAATGGTTTTGGTTTGGTGAACAAGAACTTGGAGAGAGTGGGAAGACTGTAAGAAGGACGGCATTTACACGAAGAGAGAGAAAGAGAGCTAGGAGGTGCTATTACCATCATTTCCCCGTTTTGCTATCTCGCACTTTCTCCTGGTATGTGGATGATGGAACCCCTGTCTTCGTGTTCTGTTTTTGGTGGCGCCAAATTAGCCAAAGGGTCCCAATGAAGGACTAGAAAGGATTGAAGTCTAGCCGATTTTAAGTGTTTGTATTCCAAAATTATCCAAGTACCGAACCAGTTAGGGGGCTTAGGGCTTAATTCCATCACCGTGGTGGGACACATAACCAAAAGGATTACTTAGTAGAACATATCAAGTTTCGATAAAATTACAAATCAAGTTCCGCTAAAGTTAGAATGCTTCATGGAAAATTTTTCATACAAATATATCAAAATTATCTTGATATATCATCTTGCTACAATATGAGTTTTTTCTATTTCTTTTAACACAGTTTTATCAAAAGCATTGACAATTTGCTTTTATTTTCTTTATTTTTATTTTTATTTTCATGGCTAATTGATGATCGTAGCTCAATTAGTACAGAGTAATAATATTAATCCATTACTTTTCAACAAATATTTTACTTATTGCTCTATGCATTGTTATTAAAATCCCAATTTAAATCTTAGAATCTTACGATTTTACGATTCAGGTATGTCATACGATTCGATTTACGATTCTACCCGATTTTACATATTTTTTTAAAATAGCGAAATCCTTGCAAGTTTAAAACATACCTACAAAGTTATTTATAAATATATAGTGTTAATTATTGGTTGTTTAATGGGTAAACAACTACTTTCTTTTAATAATTAGGTTTCAAACTCATAATTTAAATATATTTAATTAAATTTGGATATGACGTCTTGATTATGCATGTTTGTAGAATCTTACACGATTTTACGATTCGATCCTGAGAACCCCTTCCGATTCAAAGTAGAATCCCGATTTTGATAACGGCTCTATGTGTGACTACAACTAACACAACATGAAAGATACACGAAACTTAGTTACTTCAATTCACATACACCATACAGACTATACAATAGAATAGGAGTTTAATTCAACTTTGCAAATTTATTGTGATTTGAGGATTAATTATCATGTAATCATATACAATAAAGTAGTTGTATATATACAAAACCTAAGTATTGAACATTTGAACTACCCTTTAAATCATTTTCATGGCTCGTGAAACTACTTAATTTGCCTACTATATAAGGCCCAAAATTATTGCATTGTGATTAAAAGGTTTTTTTTTTTGGTGTTTGATTAAAAGGGTATTTACGTACATCATTTTCCTCCTCACTTAAATTAGAACTCCCCTTCATCCAAGTAACCTACTATTTTTATTCTACTATCATTAAGACATAACATATTAACCAACTAATAATCACAATGAATCAATGATCCTTAACATTATATATAGCAAACCAATTTAATTACACTTTACTCATAAAATAATGGTTATTACAAGTATATCATTCAAAGTCCTTTTCTTTCTCCTACTTTTCTCTTATTATTTCCTGTTTCCTACTAATGTTGCTAGTGTTAATATTCCTGATTCAGAGAGGCTGGCCTTTGATACCATCTTCCAGTTCGGCGACTCCCTAAGTGATACCGGGAACCTTGTTCTCGAAAATCCTTATGGTGCTCACTCCTTTGCTAGCTTTCCTTATGGTCAAACCATCCACCACCCTACAGGTCGTTGCTCTGATGGACTACTTATCATTGATTATATTGCCAGTGTTTTTCACCTACCATTGCTTAGTCCGTTTCTTGATAGACAGGGCAATTTTGATCATGGTGTTAACTTCGCTGTTGCTGGCTCAACTGCTTTAGATACCGCGATTTTAAGAACTAAGAACATTGTTTTTTCACCTCCTACTAATAGTTCATTATCTTTTCAGCTAAGTTGGTTCAAACATCATCTTAACTCTATGTGTACTAGTCGTTTAGAATGTGAGAAAAAGGTTGGTAAATCGTTGTTTGTTATAGAGACGGGAGGAAATGATTACAATTATGCTTTTCTTCATGGGAAGACTGTGAAAGAGGTGAAAGAACTGATGCCTGAAGTTGTTGGAGCTATTAAAGAAGCTGTCAATGAGGTTATTAGGTATGGTGCAATTAGAGTAGTTGTAGCTGGAAATTTGCCTATTGGTTGTTTACCTATCTATTTGGCAGCATTCGAATCAAGAGACCGAACTCAGTATGATGAATTGAAGTGTTTAAAGGAGATGAACGCGTTTGCCAAGTATCATAATGATCTATTACAACAAGCCATTAGGGAGCTTCAAATGGAGCATCCTGATAATGTTGCTATTGTTTACGGTGACTACTATTCGGCTTTGAGGTGGATTCTTCAGAATGCTGCTGCTCTCGGATTTGATGAAGATAATGTACTAAAGGCATGTTGTGGATCAAGCAATAATGCATATAACTTTGATTTGAAGAGGATGTGTGGAGATAAGGAGGTGCAAGTTTGTGCTAACCCTACTCGACTCGTGAGTTGGGATGGAATCCATTTGACTCAAAGGGCTTACTTGCGCATGGCTCAAAGGCTATTGCAGCAAGTTGTTCCAAAAATCCTAGAAGTTGTCTAAGGAATTATAATTACATAGTGTCTTTTTCTGTTTTGAATTGGCATTTAGTTACGAGTATATTTAATGAGTTTTGAGTCCATCGAAAATAATACTGTTAAGCATTCGAATATTGTGAACTTTTCAGTTACAGTGAAGTATGAACTACTGATTCTATAGTATCATGATTCATGGATGAGTCCTTATTGGTGATGTATATTAACTGTTAGTTAGTGCATCAATTTCCAATAACAAAAACAACAACGTCATAGCCCCAAAATTATTCTTAGTTAGATTGTTGCTTGGGACTAGGTAGCGCGACAGTTCAGCCAGGACCATCAATAGTACTTGTTCATCTCTCGTTATCAGATACAGGAAATAAATTCTCATTATCAACCAAAATCGTATGATTCGATCTTAAGATTTAAGATTGAACAAGTTTTGCAAAACGTAACTTCTTGGTTGTTACTTGATTGTTAGTTGTCAGCGACATCACTGTCAAGGATTTCAAACTCTGCTTGTTTTGTTTTTTACTAGTCTTCAGAGATGAAGTACCATATAAATCAGAAGTTCCAATGAGAAAAAAAAAAGGCATAAAATCTGGTTGGTGGAGTTTTGAGTTTTTCTGCATGTTTTCTTCAGAAAGATTGCTTTGTTTCTCATGAAGTTATGATAACTGAGTATGGTCTTAGGTCTTCGTACGAATATTAAGATCATAGTACCTCACTGAAACTGTATTCTGTTTTTCAGTTTCTAGTAATTCGTTAGCATACTCAATATTACCAAGGTAATGTTTACTTGTGATTTCAAAGGCTTACATGCTAAAGAAACCCGTCTAAATATGATATGCAGCATCCTTTTTGTTCATCTGCTTACAGTGGATGCAGAAGGAAAGCTAAATAACCTAACTTATTCCTTGCTAAAGATAATTATTCTCACGAAATCTGATACCATTTTTGTAAAGAACAGCTAGCATGCCATCCAAATATTTTTATAACATGTCTAGAAAGTTTCTTCTAGGATAAAGGCAATCTAATATTTTGGCAAGTTTGTATAATCAAATTACATCTGCTATCTGCTGTTTCTCCTGATTTTGCCTCTCAACAGTTTCAAATGGTATAACTATCTAGTTCTAATGGTCCTACTTAGCTGCAGCAACAATACAAGACTACCAATTGTAACAAGGAACTTAATTATCAAATCATAAATACAATTAAAGGTTCAGAAATTCTTTGGTTCGGAATTTCGAATAGGTATTGTATACAAATGCCACGCCAATCAACTGCATAGTTTACACTGCACAGTTTACACGAAATGTCTAATCAACAAATACTTCAGTTTGAAGTTATAAGCAAAATTGTTTCAAACCATGTGGAAAAAAAACACCCACACATACACAAAATTTCAACAGGCCAATGCTGTCAATCTATAAGCACAAAGAAATTTTTACAAGAAAGTTTACCTCTAATATATCCACACATGACACATTCTAAGCTTCATGAACACACCCCACCCCCCAAAGTTCCATCTCTCACATCTCAAAGAAAGATTTATGCATAAGGTAGCTAGCATTCTGAATAACAATCATGTTAAACCAGACATGGGAGTAATTACTTCTATCCATTACCTAGGCTCTGATTCTCCGTGTAAATTGGATTCAGGGTTTCTTGATGTTGACTGGTGAAGTTGTTGGCTGCTGACATATCCTGCTGTATACTGTGAACCAGGTTGCAAAGACTGATTGAAATCCTCCATTGCAAATTGAACATTGTCATCGGACCTCACCGGCTTTGGATCACAACGCTGCTTTAAAGGCAGACGGCAAACAGGACAAGTACATTGCTTCATTAGCCAGGGATCAATGCAGGAAAGATGAAAACTGTGGCAACATTTGGGCATGATTCTTAGAACTTCTTTTTCTTGATAGTCCCCCAAACAAATAGAACACCTGGTCATAAACGAAGGCAGTAATAAGCAGAAATCTCTTAGTTGTTCACAACTGAAAGAAACATTTTGCTTTAGATTGTCCAAAAATGAATTTAATTTTGGCAATGGTACTCAATACTCACTGTAGATCTTCGGTGGAGTTAAAAGCATCCCGGTGAAATTTCATCGTGGGTATTGCAGCAACCGCAAACGGTTCAAGGCCATCAGTCCTTTGCTCTGGCTATCACAAGAAAAGGACACAGCAGATTTGTTACAATCATTAATTTTAGTCCATTGTTGCAGAAACTGCTAATTTACTTTATGATCTGAAGAATATTGACATAAGTGTTCTGCTCCAAACTAGTGGAAGCAGCCAAGCAGGTACCAGTTGCAAAAACTACTACACTATTGGCATATTCGGCAAAATTAGGTGTCACTATGTAATCGTTTTACGAATACTAGCTAATAGAGTTAACTGTCAATATGTTGTAGAGTAGGTGTAGGATTGATAAAAAGAACTCATTTTTTAGCTACTTTTGAAAGCTACACTTTTCACCGTTCGCAAAACACCACCTCTACCGGAAAAGGCAAACTTAAAACACTCGATCAAACAATGTACTTGTTGATAAACCACTAAATCATAATTCTAGAAGCTACTCGAAAAGTTGTTGCCAAACACGACCTAAACATAGATTATTCTAACAAAACCCAATGTATACATTCAACAGATTGACAAATATAATTCTCAGTATGTTACTCGTATAACTTAATTGTTAAAATCCAAAATTACAGTCAACAAGCTTCACTGTTAATAATAAACACTTGACCAAACCTGCTACTGTAGCAATCAAAGCATAACATAATTCACTCAAAACCCAATATACAAATATACAATGCTCCAAAACTTAAACTGCATAAGAATCAAGAAGAGGAGATAGATTTATACCTGCTCGACATCGATTTCGGGTTCATTATCAACATTCCTCCTTGGTTCAGTCACTTGAACCCTCCTACATATGAGTCTTGTGCATATAAACACTATAAAAATTGAGCTCATCCCAAATCCAATGATAGTAGTGATCAAATTAATGTCATACATCATTTCTTCAATGTTCAAACCCTTACTCTTCAAATTTCTTATATCAAATGCCCAGAAACTGCTGAATGACTGTTAATCAGATGATCAATTGCATACAGCACAAACCCAAATAACAAATCCAGATCAATCAAAATAAGGAATTTTTTCCACAAATAACATAACCTAATCATAATTCTTTAGCTAATTTAGCTACCCACCAAATCAAAGTTTCAAACTTTTTGACTAACCCAACTCCATAAAACCCAATAAAACCAAATTAAAGGTTATTTATAGAACCTGGGATTTTTTCTATAGAACCTGGGATTTTTTCCTAGAAAACATAACAATTTTTCTAAATAAAACTTACAAAAAAAGAAACAATTGCAAGAACCCAGAAAAGGTAGGATTTGATAGAATCAAAAAAAAGCAAAAAAGGAAACTACCCATTTGGAATCCTAAATGTTTTTTATTGATTGAGCAGAAATTCCACATGGGGTTTAATCAATTAGGTTGAACTTATGGAGTCTGTGAAAAAGACAGAAAATAATGGCTGCGTTACAATAAGGAGTGAAATAGGCCGTTGTTATCGTTGCTTAATGCTTATCCATTATACTAGTATTCAGAATCACAGTGTACGAGTATTTTTTTTTTTTTGAGGCTACACACCTGTAAAATTAGGACCCGCAAGAGTTTTGTTTGTTCTTGAACGTCTACATCTTGAAAATTGATTTTGATATGCACTCCTCCTTCAAAACTTGTGGGATTAGAATGCTGAAAATTGTGTTCTCATACTTTAGGTTAACTATAATAATTTCTCTTGTAGTCTTACGATTAATGATTTTTTGATGTGAATTAGAGTACTTATCTAATCTTAGCTTATTATATTTATCTTAATTTATTTTGATTATAAATTGAACTTGAGTTTCTCTTATTACAGTAACATTTATTTAAAAGAAAAAAATAAAATAAAAATAAGATAAAGAGAACAATTTTTCAACTCTCTACCTCGGGATTGGGAGGTGTTACCACCTCATTAATCCTTGATTCCCTCCCATGCATGTTAATAAGCCAAATTAATATTTTCTAAGGAAGTGTTTGCCGGTAAGTGTGGGGTATGGTTGTTTTTTATTTATTTGTTTAAGTAAAATGGAGCATGATGTGAAGAAGTAAAGAATCAAATACAAAGTATCTTTGTGAGTTGTGTTTACTGTTTAGTGAATTGGTGCTAAAGACTTTGAGAGTTGAGTGTGGCCTAGTAGTGCTTGAACCATTGAGGACAAATTATTGCAATTAAACAAGTGTTTAGTAATGCGTCCTTTTTTATATTGATGGTCAATGTGTTTAAGTGTTTGTATTCCAAAATTATCCAAGTACCGAACCAGTTAGGGGGCTTAGGGCTTAATTCCATCGCCGTGGTGGGACACATAACCAAAAGGATTACTTAGTAAAACATATCAAGTTTCGATAAAATTACAAATTAAGTTCCGTTAAAGTTAGAATGCTTCATGGAATATTTTCCATACAAATAAATCAAAATTACTTTGATATATCATCTTGCTACAATATGAGGTATTGTATTTTTTTCTGTTTCATTTAACACGAAATTTTATCAAAAGCATTGACAATTTGCTTTTATTTTCTTTATTTTTATTTTTATTTTTATTTCCATGGCTAATTGATGATTGTAGCTCAATTATTACAGAGTAATAATATTAATCCATTACTTTTCAACAAATATTTTACTTATTGCTCTATGCATTGTTATTAAAATCCCGATTTAAATCTTAGAATATTACGATTTTACGATTCATGTATGTCGTACGATTCGATTTACAATTCTACCCGATTTTACATATTTTTGTAAAGTAGCAAAATCCTTGCAAGTTTAAAACATACCTACAAAGTTATTTATAAATATATAGTGTTGATTATTGGTTGTTTAATGGGTAAACAACTACTTTCTTTTAATAATTAGGTTTCAAACTCATAATTTAAATATATTTAATTAAATTTAGATATGACGTCTTGATTATGCATGTCTGTAGAATCTTACTCGTTTTACGATTCGATCCTGAGAGCCCCTTCCGATTCAAAGTAAAATCCCGATTTTGATAACGGCTCTATGTGTGACTACAACTAACACAACATGAAAGATACACGAAACTTAGTTACTTCAATTCACATACACCATGGCAGACCCAGGAATTTCCGACTGGTGAGTCACAATCGATAACCAAATATGTAAAAATGAAAAGCCTGTTATTTTTGAATTGAAATAACATAACATAGATGAACACAAGTTATTTTTAGCTTGAATGGGTAGTCTAACCCAACCCAAACCTTTTCCCAGAATGTATCATTTTAGCCAAGACTTGGCCCAGACCGACCTGGGCCTATAATCAGGTCTACTCTTAATTAACAATCAGAATTCAAAACTAGATATTCTAACACAATCAGAATTAGATAATCTAACGATAAGGACTTAGGACTTGTTCTCTTCACCTGAAACAAGTAGATCTGGTCTGATTTTTATAAGGGCTGATCTGAATTTTTATTATCTGGTTTTATCTGATCTGATTTAACAATTTGACTAAACTTTGACCGCATTGTAGTACTAATCTATAAAGAAAAACATTATCAAAATGGATCTTATTAGATTCGTCTCATTATGATTTTTTCAAATATGTAATATTTATAGTTTTTTTTAATGCGCAATTAACAATATTTAATGATAATTAAATGATAATCAAAAGTTTTGATCTAGTCTGATCTAAATATTTCTAATTTGGTCTGATATGTTCTGAATTTATTAAGGAATAAGTAATAAGTATCTGAAATAAGCTGAAGAGAACAAGTCCTTAAAGAGGCAAAGTAGTTGAAGGTTAGCTATAAACCTTGATGGATGATATCGAATGTCATACATCCTTTTGGGCTCAATCGTTAATAGCTGAGGTCGAGCCCAGCTAGGTATTTATGAGGTTGCTACTGAAATGAACATTTACTATAATAAAAATGAACATTTTCTAACTGAACATATTTTACAATAATTTTGTATTTCTCAATAATCAAATGTTCATTTTCATACACTACGATGTTCATTCTTATAAAATAAATGTTCGTTTTCATGCCGCATGATGTTTATTCTTATAAAATAAATGTTCATTTTCTTTTTTAACTTAATACAAATTTTTGTGTTTGTTCAGTTGTATAAAATGTTCGTTTTTATTGTAAAAGATGTTCAATTAACATTAGCATTAATAATGATAGACATTAGCATTTTGTTCATTATTAAAAAACATATTGTTGGTTTATTTAATTGGTATTAAATCATATACAATAATACTAGCCACGAGAAATAAGGCAGTGCTCAATACAATAATACTGCATTTGTTGGCAATTAAATTTATACTCACTACAATACAACTTCCTTTTGTTTTCTTGTCATTCTAAACTTCATGTATAGATCTAAGAGGACATATATAGTATTTGTGGTCAAAATTAATTCATATACATACATGATGGTGTATGTATTGCTCGATTACCGGGGACATTATTCACTAATTCATTATAACAAAGTACATCTAACTACCTTAGTTTGTCAAGGTGGGGCGCGGGGGTATATGACACATACGTGTTATACATGTATATATTTGTAAGCTTAAGTAACACACATCATGTATTTAGACTTAGATAGATGTATAATAAATTTTCAGATCATCAATCGTTAAAGAACTAAGTACATTAAGAAAACGTGAACTCCATATATACAATAGTATTTATTATTATTCCTTTATTTTTCTTTTTGAATGAAATGTTTTCAAATGTTTTACTGTCAACTCATACTATACGAAGTAACATAATATACAAAACTTTTACTTGAACTTGGCTTGATCAATTAAAGAGAAAGAGTACATATATAATGTAGAATGTGCATATGTCCCATAATTAATAAATTTAATTGTTGTGGTCCTCAATCAATTTTTATATAATATAGGTAGGACTCCGTAGAAGAACGTACTACTTCATAAGCAAGCTAGCAATCTTAGCATCATTACCTTTACATCCAAAAGATAGGTTGCTTATTGTCCAAAAAAAAAAAAAGAAAAAAAAGAAGTTCTTGAGTATAATTAGAAAAGGTTGAGTATATATGCTGTATGCAATGTAAATATATAGGGTGTTAATTGCTCTCAATAAAATTAACCTTTTCGATCAATTAGTAATTAAATTATTTTCTCTCCATCACAAGACAATATTATAATTGTAATTTAGGTATCCAGTAAATTATATGGTCGCTTTCTTGATTTAGCAAGTCAAATTTTATATTTTTCAGGCAAAAAAAAAAAAAAAAAAAAAAGTTACTTCTTTATATTTTTCCAAAATAAATTAACACAATTGTTGAGGTTTATAAATAAATTTTTGTATTGGTGAATGACTCATTATTCTAATCTAGTTGACAAGTAAGGGATCACTATGGTAAATTGGTAATCTTGAATTGCATATAATATACATTTCAATTATTGCATATTACTAACTCAATTGTTTCAATCCCTTTTATAGTTCAAATTTTACAAAGTTACAATGGAAAATACGACTTGAAGATGGAGATATTATCTCGAAAACTAGACAAATTAAGCAAATGGCCGGGTATCAACTAACACACGCCATCTTAAAATTAGAGGTTAGATTTCTAATTAATATTCGGTAATCCTGGATGTACAACAGAAAAAAGAAACGAAAAAGATACTTTGCCTTCTGTTGTACAAACTACAAAGAAAGTGCTGTAGTTTGTTAGTATCTACACTTTATATAATCTACTAAAGCTAGGGATATATGGCGGACCCAGGAATTTCCGACTGGTGAGTCACAATCGATAACCAAATATGTATAAAAAATTTTTTACCAAAATTCCCAAGAAAAATTATTTACAAAGATCATCCAAATAGAAAATTGACAAGATTACAATACTAACTAAAAACTAACAAGTTTAAAATTGACAAGACTAAAATTAACAAACTAATAATGAACAAGCTAATAATTGACAACATGACAAGCTTTTGGGTTATTAAAAATTGGTTGTATAGCCCAAACAAGCTATTGTTTTTAGGTTATTAAAAATTGGTTGTATATGAAAACGAGAGTTGATTTAACAATAATTTGACAAATGAGGTAGAGTTACTATATTTTATTTTGTGAGATCAGAGTAGCATGAGAATGAGTGTTGATTAAACAAATGATCAAACGAGCTCGATACGACATGTTAGTAGTTCCTTTGTGAAAGAAACCTATCATTTCCATCACTTTATTTCATAACGTAATTTCTTACATTTCATTATTATTGCCTTTTCAAAATTCTCAAGGTGGCAAACAAATTAAAAAGAGGATTGGGTTGTACGAGCAAAAGGAGTTCCAAATTCCAACAAAATTGGGCCCAATGGACCCCTAGTGGACCATAAGAAGCTCATTAGAAAGAGAGCAGTACAGAAAACATGAAAAAAGAATAATTGTTAACCTCTTTTTTGGGCTATACAATAGAATTTGATTGAGTGTAATGAGCTAACATCCTTCCAACACTGAATAACAAGGGAGTGTTCAGGCTCAAATCTTACCCTTCATAAGCAAGGAATGTTTGTTTACTTTTCTGAGCATCTTTATGTAACTCCACACCGTTCAACCATGGTCTATGAAGACCATCAACTATTGAAAGCACTTGCTCAATTCCCTAAACACCCACATTACATCCTATCACAGACACGCACAAAACCGACATCGGTGTGAAGCATATAAGCAATTTTAAAGAGGTGGAGCAAAACCTGCTTCAATCTCTCTGTATTTGGTTTCTTTTCAGTGAAGGAAATCAAAGAATTCAGATCATAAATTAGGAAATCTTCCACTGGAGAAAAATCGAAAGTTGCATTTGTCATATAACAAAATTAATGTTTTTATAAGTGTTAACAAGGTGTAATTACAAGTGAGACATCAACATTTCTCATGTAACAATAGGGGCAGGTTGCTATTTGGTGCATCAACCGGTAACATTAATCAAACTGGAAAAAAATATACAATTGATACTGTACACAGAAACATGAATCCTAGTTTGTTCGAAAGACAGATATTTTCATTTAGACCGTTGAGGGGTCATAAGGAGCCAGCAGCTTCTCCAATTCTTGTAGAGCTGCTGCCATCTTACCGGTCTCGGATTGTATGTTTGATATGCATGGAGCGATCACACCGAGACACTCTTGAATTGTACCTTGCTGAAAAAAAAAATATACTTTTATTAGCACTAATCCTTAGATCTTAGTGAGCAAGAATAGGGTATAATCAGTTGTAGAATTGGGAAAAAAAAAAAAAAAAGAAGATCCTTTGAAGAGATATTATCAACCTCCCAAATCAAGCTAAAAAAACCCCCAAGATTAACCCTTCACAAATATCCTCTTGGCTAATAAAAACTTGATAGGTATGACCAACAACTAAAAGAATCACCACATCCTTAAGCTTCCGTTAATTAAGTGATTGGTTAGGCAATGCTCAAAGAGAATCTTCTAATAGAGCCTAGCACTGGCAATCTATGTTCATAAATCACCAACTAAAGAAATTATTCTCAGTTAGGGAACACTGCAAAATTATCACCATAACTACAATCATCAAACCTCAAATCATGCTACCTGAACAAATATAGGCAGAATCCTATCAACAATTAAGTATTGAACCTCAAATGACACTACTCGAACAAGTATAGGAGGAAACCTATTGTAAAAACAAGTATTAAACCTTAAACCACACTACCTAAACAAGTCTTGGCAAAATTTAAGATAAAATTTGAACGTCAATCCTATCGAAATATAAGTATAGGAGGAGCCTACAGTAAAAACAAGTATGAAACCTCAAATCACACTATCTAAAGAAGTAAAGGCAAAATTCATGATAAAATTGAACCTCAAACGATTATCCCCAAACAATTATACGAGGAATCCTACTGAAAGAAACAAGTATTGAACCTCAAATTGCTTCATCGAAACCACTCAAAATACAATTGTAAGACTAAAAACTAAAAAACTTAGCAATCAACCTCAAATCGCGCTATTGGAACAAGTGTAGGCAGAATCCTATCTACTGTCAATCAATTACTTGCTCATTCATATACCAAAGATTAGATTCTAGTAGTCAACCTCAAATCACGCTATCAGAACAAGTATATGCAGAATTACAATGCAGTATAGTACCAAACAATCAATCACTTGCTTATTCATAAACAAACCAAAGATTAAACTTTCATTCAACCCACAACACCAAACAAATCAATTCAAAAAACCCTAATCCAAAATTCACAAAAGAGGCAAAAGATTAGATTTTAGTAGTCAACCTCAAATCGCGCTATCAGAACAAGTATATGCAGAATGACAATGCAGTATAGTACCAAACAATCAATCACTTGCTTATTCATAAACAAACCAAAGATTAAACTTTCATTCAACCCACAACACCAAACAAATCAATTCAAAAAACCCTAATCCAAAATTCACAAAAGAGGCAAAAGATTAGATTTTAGTAGTCAACCTCAAATCGCGCTATCAGAACAAGTATATGCAGAATTACAATGCAGTATAGTACCAAACAATCAATCACTTGCTTATTCATAAACAAACCAAAGATTAAACTTTCATTCAACCCACAACACCAAACAAATCAATTCAAAAAACCCTAATCCAAAATTCACAAAAGAGGCAAAAGATTAGATTTTAGTAGTCAACCTCAAATCGCGCTATCAGAACAAGTATATGCAGAATGACAATGCAGTATAGTACCAAACAATCAATCACTTGCTTATTCATAAACAAACCAAAGATTAAACTTTCATTCAACCCACAACACCAAACAAATCAATTCAAAAAACCCTAATCCAAAATTCACAAAAGAGGCAAAAGATTAGATTTTAGTAGTCAACCTCAAATCGCGCTATCAGAACAAGTATATGCAGAATTACAATGCAGTATAGTACCAAACAATCAATCACTTGCTTATTCATAAACAAACCAAAGATTAAACTTTCATTCAACCCACAACACCAAACAAATCAATTCAAAAAACCCTAATCCAAAATTCACAAAAGAGGCAAAAGATTAGATTTTAGTAGTCAACCTCAAATCGCGCTATCAGAACAAGTATATGCAGAATGACAATGCAGTTTAGTACCAAACAATCAATTACTTGCTTATTCATAAACAAACCAAAGATTTGAATACATTTTATGTCAAAATTACAAATTAAAAGCACTAACCATAGTCTTTATTCTCTTGGTCAAACGTTCATTCATATTGACCAAATCAACACCCTGCATAAAAAAAACACAATTATAAATCTTTTATTTAAAAAAAAAATATGTTTCATTAAAAGCTATAATTTCAGAACTAACCTCTTGAGTATTGGATGATACAGCTTGATTAAGAGAGTTGACTGCTCCCAATTGAGTAGGTACAAAGGATCCTGATCCAGCTTCATTATTGAGTGGAGCATTACTTTCATTCATATTGACCATATCAACATCCTGCATAAAAAAAACACAATTATAAATCTTTTATTTAAAAAAAAGAAATGTTTCATTAAAAGCTATACTTTCAGAACTAACCCCTAGAGTATTGAATGATACAGCTTGATTGAGAGAGTTGACTGCTCCCGATTGAGGAGGTAGAGATTCCCCTTCAAAGAATCCTGATCCAGCTTCATTATTGAGTGGAGCATTGAGTTCCAGATTTTCAGGTTCCAGATTTCCGAAGTCAATAAGAGCTGTCAAACTGTCGGTAGAATCAGAACCAATTCCTTCATTTGGGTTCGGACCCATTGCTTGAATTGGAGTCGGATTGGGTAACATTTCCAGATTTTCAGGTTCCAGATTTTCAGGTTCCAGATTTTCGAAGTCAATAAGAGCTGTCAAACTGTCGATAGAATCAGAACCAATTCCTTCATTTGGGTTCGGACCCATTGCTTGAATTGGAGTCGGATTGGGTAACATTTCCAGATTTTCAGGTTCCAGATTTTCAGGTTCCAGATTTTCGAAGTCAATAAGATCTGTAATCGGATTGGGTTCCACTTGTAATCCGCCATATACAATTGGCAATTGAAACGTAAGCCTAGCCCTTTTATCGGCTGCCGCCCACTCAAATCTTAAGTGGGTATTCTCGACGATGTTATTAGCTTCAACAAATTTGATCCACTTTCCAAATAGTTTACCCTGATTTCCTTTAATTTCTTTGCAAGAAAACCGCCAAAGTCCGCCATTTTGATCTTGTGCCAAGAAAATGATTTTATCTCCACCCGATATAGTTTGTTCATAATCCGGAGGCAACATTGTTCTAAACCTAACAAAATCATCCTTTAAGATGATGAACTGATTTAAACTTTTATTGACATCAGATGCAGTAAGATATTTCTCAAAAACTAACTCGAATTGCGCATTCTCCATCTGCGAAAAGAAAAAAAAAAAAATCAAGGAAAACAAAATTTATGACTAAGATTACTAAACCCTAAATGAAATAATAAAAGAATTATAAAACCCTAATAATCAATATTCAACTAAGATTACTAAACCCTAATAAGAAATTCAAACAATGAAATTCAAGATTTATCCCGCCATCGCCAAAACATCTTACCTCAAGAAGCTGTTTAATGGAGGAGAGCTCAAATTACGCTTCAATGGAGGAAAAAGCGTTGACTTGATATTGATCGAAAAAGGGAAAATTGGGGAAAATCAGCGTACACGTCAATGATTCAAAGGAGAGAGATTATTTGATCGAAGAAGGGAAAATTGGGCAACCTAACGCTATTCTTGCAAGCTTTTGTGTATTGGCGCGATCTTGTATTTTTTTTTTTTTTTTGAAAGAAAGAATTGTATTTTGTTAATATGGCTGCTGCCGTATTTATGTAATACGTGGTATATGCTTTTCCCTTTTGTGTTAAAAAAAAAGCTGTTAATTCGGGTAAATAGGTCGGGTTTGGATCAACTCGGATCGGATCATTTCTGATTAATGTCGTAACCTATATGGGTTGGGTTCGGGTTGGGTCATGCTTGAGTCGGGTAACGTCGGGTCATCTTATCGGGTTTGGGTCGGGTTAATAACAGACCGGGTTACATTCGGGTCGGGTGAATAATAGGTCGAGTTTAATTCGGATTAAAACGGGTTAGGGTCAATCTCGGGTTCGAGTCGGGTTCGGTTCAATTTGCGGGTTATAATCTGGTCAGGTCATTCTCGGGTTTGAGTCGTGTTCGGTTCAAGTCAATAATTTGCGGGTTATCATCAGGTCGGGTCATTTCCAAGTCGGGTCATTCTCAGGTTTAAGTCGAGTTCGGTTCAAGTCAATTATTTGCGGGTTACAATCAGGTCGGGTCATTTACAAGTCGGGTCATGATCGGGTTCAAGTCGGCTTTGGTTCAAGTCAAAAAATTGCTACGTTATAATCAGGTCGGATCATTTCCAAGTAAGGTCATGTTCGGTAGGGGTGGCAAAAACTGACCCGACCCGAAAACCCGACCCGAACCCGACCCGAAAATAGCGGGTTAGGGTTGAGAATTTCGACACGAAAACTTAAATGGGTTGACACGAACCCGACTCGAAATTAAATGGGTTAGGTTAAGGTTGAAAATTTCAACCCGAAAATGACCCACATAACCCGAAAATAATTTTCGGGTCAAAATCAGGTCGGGTCAATCCGAACCCGACCTTATAACCCGAAAAAAAAATTCTTAAAAAAAAAAATCATTTTAATGGCTAATGGCCCAAGCCCAATTTAAAGTTCTAAACCTAAAAAAACCCTAAATGTGACTAACCCCCACCAGCCGTTTTTGTCTCCTATTTTCTCATTTTGCCCTCTCTCTCTCTCTCTCTCTCTCTCTCTCTCTCTCTCTAAACTTCTCTGGTTCTCATTTTCTCAACAATCTCAAGTTCACAGACACTCCACACTCACTCTTTCCTTCTAGTTCTTTCTCACTCTTTCGTTCTCAAGTTCTCAACTTTTCCCTCTTCTCACTCGTTCTCACTCCTCAACGCCTGAAAGGTAATGGTTATTAATTGTTTTTTATTTCGTTTCGTTTTTGTTTTGAATTTCAAGTTCTGATTCTGAATTTTCCATTCTTGTTTTTTTTTTTTTTTCAAATCTTCAAATCTTCATCTCCTTCAAGCCGTCAAACCTCAAACTCTCAAAGGTAATTCTTTTTTAATTTTTGTTGTTTTTGTTTCGATTTTTGTTGTTTTCGTTCCTGTTTTGTTGTTTTCGTTTCGGTTTTGTTCTTGATTTTTGATTTTTTTTTTTTTCGTTTCAATTTTTTTGTTTTCGTTTCGAGTTTTGTTGTTTTCGTTTTGGTTTTGTTGTTTTCGTTAGTTTTGTTCTTGATTTTTGTTGTTTTTGTTTCCGTTCCATTTTTGGTTGTTTTCGTTTCGAGTTTGGTGGTTTTCATTTCATTTTGGTTGTTTACGTTTGGTTTGTTCTTGATTTTTGTTGTTTTTGTTTCTGTTTCAATACAGATTTGTATTTGATTATTGTTGTTGTTCTTGCATGATAATAGTATTAAGTTTATATAACGTATGATGGGTTGCTTTGTAAATTTCTAGCACAATAATCCAATTCCTGGTCTAATTTACAGCAAGAATATATCTTTGACATGCATGTGATTTTTTTTTAATTTTAGGTCTGATTTAGATTATATCTCTAGCTTGTTGTTGTTGACTTGTTGTTTATTTTATATTGTTGTTCTTGTCCAAATAATTTCTGATTTTTTGCGGTAATTATGGATGTTGATGTTTAGATTATATCTCTAGAAAGAATAGATCAGTTTTTGTCTTTTGTTTTAAAATAAATGTTTTATTTTGTTATATTTTTTGCAGTAATTATGGATGCCGATGTTTAGCAACTTTCTTCCGAGGAAGAGGAGATTGACTCGACAACACAAGACAAAGGAAAGGGTAAAAACCAGAAAACTTCTTCTGGTAAACCTCGTGTGATTCTTACTGGTAAGAAACGTCAACGTCGGCTTTCTTCTGGTGTTTGGGTGAATTTTGATTTTTTAGACGAGCCTGATGAAAATGGTAGTCTAATTTGCAAATGTAAAAAGTGTGGTATACGTTTTAATGCTGATAGTAAGAATGGAACTGGGAATCTTCATCGTCATTTGAAAAATTGCAAACAAAGGTCTTTTAGGGATGTTGGTCAAATGATATTAGAGAAAACATCCTCTGGTTTAGGAAATAGATTGCGTGAATTTGATGCTAATTATTTCCGTGAATTATTATCTCTTGCTATTGTGGAGCATGATATGCCATTTCAGTTTGTAGAGTTCAGGGGTTTTAGGAGATGTTTTCATTATTTGCATCCTGATTTCAAACCTGTCACTCGAAATACTATCAAATCTGATGTACTTAAGATGTATAAAAGAGGGAAAGAAAAATTAAAAGCTGTTTTGGGCTCAACTTGTAGTAGAATTGCATTGACTTCTGATTGTTGGACTTCTATAACCACTGATGGTTATATTTCATTGACAGCTCATTATGTTGACAAGTCTTGGTGTTTGCAAAAAAAGATCTTGAACTTTTCTTACATTGGTCCTCCCCATACAGGAATTCATTTATGTGATCATGTGTATGGTTTGTTAAAAGAATGGGGTATTCAAAAAAATATTTTTTCAATTACATTAGATAATGCTTCTTCAAATGATGTTTTTGCTGAAAATCTAAAAGGGGAACTTGAGTTGATTTGTGGTGGGGAATCTTTTCATGTAAGGTGTTGTGCTCACATTCTTAATTTAATTGTTCAAGATGGTTTAAAAGAAATTGATGAGGCTGTGTATAAGATTAGAGAGAGTGCCAAATATTGTAAGAGTTCACAAGCTAGGAAACAAAGGTTTTTAAGTTGTGTATCACATGTTGAAATTCAATCTACTAGAATTTTACAACAAGATATTCCTACTAGATGGAATTCAACTTACATGATGCTTGATTGTGCTTTGTATTTTAAAAAAGCTTTAATTCACTTTCAAAAAGTTGATGCCAATTATGTACATTGTCCTTCTGTTGAAGAATGGGGTAGAGTTGAAAAAATATGCAAGTTTTTGAAAGTTTTTCATGATGTCACACTTGCCTTTTCTGGGACCAAATATCCAACTTCCAATCTCTACTTTCATAGAGTCTTACAAGTTAGGTTGTTGTTACAAAATGAAATGAAAAGTTCAGATCTTTTTATGCAAAAAATGGCTTGTAAAATGTATGAGAAATTTGGAAAGTATTGGTCAGAATTTAGTGCATTTATGGCTGTTGCTGTGGTGTTGGATCCACGATATAAGTTGCAATGTGTCAATTGGGGTTACATGAGGATATATGGTCAGCATAGTGTTGAATACGAGCTTGAGTTTTCTAAGGTTAAGGATGCTTTACGGAGGTTGTACGAGGCTTATGCATCCAGTCATTCTTCATCAAGCAATGTTATTCCCACTGCTAATGCTTCCAATGCTAATGAAGCTTCTGATGATTTTATGATGGTAAACAACTTTCTGAGTTTCTGTCTTTCTGATGCATTTACCTTTATTGCAAGTGAAAACATATCCTGATTTAATAATTTGATTTTATTATAATCTGATTTTATTATAATCTGATTTTTTATAATATAATTTTATTATAATCTGATTTATTATATTATAATCTGTGATTTATTGTATTATAATCTGATTTTATTATAATCTGATTTATTGTATTATAATCTGATTTTCTTACAATCTGATTTATTATATTATAATATGATTTTATTGTATGATAATCTGATTTTTATTTTCTGATTTTTTGTGACATGCTACTCATGTAATCTAATCTTGGTATATAGGATTTTGATAGTTTTTCTATGGAGCAATCAAATGTGGCAATCAAATCTGAAGTTGATATGTATTATGAGGAGCCACTTATCCCCCGAGGCACCAACCTTGATATTTTGTCTTATTGGAGAACTTGCTCGGTCCGGTATCCTATATTAGCTAAAATTGCTAGGGATGTTCTTGTTGTCCCCGTATCAACTGTGGCCTCCGAATCAGCTTTTAGTACTGGAAGTCGAGTGCTTGATTGTTATAGAAGTGCTTTAAAATCAGAAACAGTGGAGGCTATAATTTGCTTAAGGGATTGGGATTTTGGGGAAGGTAAAAAATGAGTTAGAACTATTGTATTACTTGTAAATTATCTTTTTTTTTTAGTACATGTGTTGATTTTAATTTGCTATCTTTTCTTGTAGATAATATGGATCCTCAAATGGCAATGCTATGTGGATCTGTTATGAAGCTTAAGGTGGGGGACAACGATGACGCACCACAAACCTCGCCGGAACTATCAGAATTTGATGAGAATGCTTCTTCGAACATTGTTTGAGTCACAAGGACTAAAGTTTATTAAAAGACATTTTTTTCTTTTTAATTATGGTTTGTAATTTGTTAAGACTATTTTGGTGTGTTAGTGACTTAGTGTGTAATAGTTAATTAGGCATTTTAGACTGTTGAAAACATTGGGTAAAAAATTCAGGTTTTGTTAACTGTTTGAAAACACAAAATTTGGCTAAAAATCAGTTTATTCAGCTAAAAAAAAAAAATTAAAACAATCAACAAAAGTCAGGTCAAATCAGGTTGTTTTCGGGTTGACCTGAACCCGAAAATATCAGGTTCGGGTTGGGATTTTCAACCCGAAAACTTAAATGGATCAGGTTCAGGTTGGGGGTTCCCTGACCCGAAACACGAAAACCCGAACACGAACCCGACCTGACCTGATCTGTTTGCCACCCCTAATGTTCGGGTTCGGGTCTCAAATATTGGGTTAATCTGGGTATCGGGTTGATTTCAGGTCGGGTCATATCAGGTTCGGGTACATTTTTTGGGTCGTTTTGTTAACAGTTCATGTAATTACATTCACGTTTAATCATTATCAATTACTTCATTTATTGTAAGAAAAATAATTTCAGATAAGTTTAAATTCGAGGTAATAAGTTCTAATAAGTTTAGATAAGATCTACATAATAAGTTCATATTAATTCCAATAAGATAGGTTTAGTTTAGATTTTTAGAAGATAAGTTCAAACTCTATTCTAATCTATTCACATTGATTCCACTCATTTCAGGGATAACAATTTCAGATAAGTTCATATTCGAGATGACATGTTTAGATAATACAATAAGTTCACATAAATTCAGATAAAATAGGTTTAGTTTAAATAAGTTGAAATACAA